CTAACTCTAAAGCTACTAAGCTGGAACGTACCTATATAATTCGCCATGAAAAACGAAAAATAAACGTACCAACTTGTCAAATAAAAAAGAAACTTGGTTTTGAGCGGTCGTTCTATAGATATCGGCGATGCCGACAAATTAGCAGTATCTTCGGCAGAATAAGACGTGCGCAATATACAGACAGGCTAAAACGACTCAGCGCGTCACACGGCTCATTTATATATATACTTTATGGCGCATACGAGGTTTTCTTCTGGATGTTACAACTTCGTGGCAAGCTTAGTTTAGAAAGCATCGAAAGTTCGAAAAGACAATATAAACCGGTCGTTTTATTCGTTCAGAAAAGAGCCATCACACATAAACAAGTCAGTCGGAATGGCAAGCAACGTTATACAACTCATGCCCCACACATTGATTACGCTTTGTAAGCTACAGATTGCTTAATATGACTTTTTGGCAAATCTTATCGCAAACTTTTTTCGTCGACTTTCGTAATATAGCAGTTTTTTGCACTCACACGAGGCTTGCAAGCACCGTGCCAGTCAAAATAGTTCTACTAATATGTAGATTCGCCACACTACTGCCAATATTTTATGCGCTCAGCCTGCAGATTTCTCCAAATGCAATCGTTTATTCAAATCACAGCTAGGTCAAGAGTAGCTATACATACATACATGTGTATGTAAGTCACATAAGAATCATATTAAAAAGCAGAATACAGAAAGAAAACGAGCAGTGACGAAGGAAAAGTCAGTAACTCATAAGAAAGCACGCGTATGCATTACAAACAAGCGCTACAAACAGCTATGAATGCTGCATAAATCAAGCAAGCAAAGCATACAAAGTAGCAGCGGCAGCAACAACAATTGCATAGACATATCCGTCAGCACTGTGTTGAAGTGAAAATGTTGATGCAATGCATACATATAATAAAACAAAGAGCACCAAGCATTAAAACAATGATGCCAAAGCCGCCAGAGCCACAGCCAAAGTTGCTGGGCGTCTGCAGTGTGTCATGGCGCGTACTGTGTGCAGACTGTAAGCTAACAGCGTGGCAAGCGGCGACTGCAGCCTAACAGCAACAAGTATTGTACATTGTGTGCGAGGCGGCACGAAGCGTAGCGCAGAGCGTTGTTGCAATTGTATAGCTTGTTTATTTGGCCGCGCGCACATTGCAACGTCAGAGTCAACAAAAGCTATGCTTTAAAGAAGCACCAGCATTTCTATAAGCACACAAGCATAAAAGCATAGTGCAAAGCAAATGACAAATACGAAAAGTGTGGAAACTGAAAAGTGGCAGTGAGAATATATGAACTCAAATTTTACATACAGACATACATACATACATATACAAGTGGATTTGTACTGTGCGCTGCATGTGCTTGTAAAGTGTGCAGCCGTTTTAAAGCAAAATACGAGGGCAGCGTGTAGAGAATCTTGCAATAGTGCTTTACTTGCTACCAAAGTGGTGTGCCTAAGTCATCATGCACTGCTTATCAAAGTATTATCTCTGTGCTTGAAAGAGAAACCTTTTATGCCGTCAACTGCATACATACATACATTAGCACAAAAATTCTTTAGACCCGTCTCTTTTAATGGGTTAGTAGTGGGCTAACGCTGCACACTAACAAGCACACTTATGTGTATTTGTATGACTAACTGCTTTACCGGCGCACGCAGTGGTTCCCAAACTACGCCTTAATTGACAATATAAAGCTGTGAGTGTACTTCTCCTTGAGAACTCTTTTTTTTTATAAAACAAGAAAGCTAGAGTTATCTTCGGCTGCACAGAAGCTATAATACCCATTACAGGTGCATTTTTATAGCATAAAATAGCCAAAAAACAAGATCTTTGCTTGATTTGGATCAGCCAGTTTGTATGGCAGCTATATGCTGTAGTGTTCCGATCTAAACAATTTTTTCGGAGATTGTAGCCTTACTTTGAACAACAAGCTTTGCCAAATTTTGAGAGGATATGTCATCAAATAAAAAAGTTTTCTATATAAGCTTATGATTTTGATCGGTCAGTTTGTATGGCAGCTATATGTTATAGTAGTTCGATATAAAAGATGTATTCGGAGATTGTAGCATTGACTTGGGCAATATTCTGTGCCCAATTTCGTGAATATATCTTGTCAAATAAAAAAGTTTTTCATGCAACAACTTGATTTTGAACGGTCAGTTTGTATGGCAGCTATAAGCTATAATGGCACGATATTGGCGATTTCGACAAATGAGCAAATAACTCAAAAACTGAGCAACATAGTACGCGTATATACAAGCAGATTGAGCTCTCGATATCAGGAAAAAAGTTACCATTCCAACCCTATTATCCGGTATATTACCGGGGTTTGATCTCCGAGTAATTGCACTTTATGTTATGTGCAAAACCAAAGCGTCTGTTTTCTTGTAGTGCTTCCTCAGAGCTATGCGCGTGGCATTCCGATACGTGAGTGAAAGGTTTGGAAACCACTGCTTTAGTCCATTACCGTTTGCTGCAAGACTTGTCTATGACTAATGACACACAAAATAGCTGTTTAGTTTGCCATTTGACTCATTAAAAGAAAAGCAAATACTCAAGTCAATGCTTAGAATGAGAAAAATCCAGCAAATGAGCACAAATAAATTACTTAAAAGACAAATCCCGAGGAAAGTAACGAAAATTGGGGTAAATGAGCACAACGCTGCACCTGAGTACTTTCAGCGCTTAACTATATACCTATGCGTGTATGTAAGTATGCATGTATGTGCGCAACAGCCATGCAAAGAGCGTGCAACAAAAGAGCAAACATGCCAGCAAGAGCGAAAATTTGTATAAAAAATATAAATAAAAACAAATATGTATGTGTGTGTTATGGTATATATACATAGGTACCAAATTTTGTTAATGTAATATTGATTGCAATTGAAGCACCAAGCCATATAATTATTATGCGCAGGTGGTGATCAATTAAAAATATATATACAAAAGCGCAAAAATCACATGTTTTTATGTTTTTCATTGGTACGTCGGCTTAAAAATTGGTTGTGAAAAAATCACGAGCGCCACCATTTATGACTCACAAGCAATTAAGCACGCAAAAAGCGGCGTTGACATTGAATTGGCGGAATTATGCGATTGCCGGCGACCAGCGCGGTTTTCGCGCTAACTCAAAGCGCGTAAAAAAATTGTGTTTAAAAATTTATAAGCTCTAAAGCAGAAAACTGCAAATAAAATATGTTTGAATGAATTTAGCAAAAAGCATTTCCGTGCATTTTAGCTACGCTCGCAGGCTTAGTTAATGCTTAGCTGCCACTGTTAACGCCCAGCAGTCGCTTTAAGCGCATTTTTAACTCGATTCTAACAAATAATGTCTATAAAATGATTTCTATCGTTTTATTTTGCTGCCACAGCACACATTGTTCATTGCACAATAAGGCTGCGCAGTTTAAGGCGTTCTTACGTATTGTCACCATACATACTCATAAACGTAAGCAGACGCTGACGCAAAAGCGCTCTTCCGCCAATTTTCGAACGTCAGCAGCTTCTTATTAATTATGCTCGACGCAGCGGCGTTTTGATTTCAGCTTATTTATTTTTATTAGTCTTCCTGTTTGCATTACATTCACACATACATATAAGAGAAACAATGGAATTTACATTTGCGGCAGCAAATTATTAAAGTTGCGATTTTTATTTTTTGCTATTAAAAACGTATTAAACGTAAAAAAAATAGATTTTTTAGGTGTATCGTGAAATATCAACAAATTCCCGCTACGAATCCAATATATAATAAAAACCCTTCAAATATACATTTCTGAGTGCATTAAAGAGTTTACAAAAGATTTTTTACTTGATTTTATTCAGTCAGTTCGTATGGCAGCTATAAGCTATAGTAATCCAATTCGAACAATATCCTTCGGATATTGTAGCATTGCCTTTGACAATAATCTATGCCAAATTTTGTGCAGAAAGCTTGTCAAATGAAAAAGCTTTCCATACAAGCACTGGATTTCGAACGCTCAGTTTGTATGACAGCTATATGCTATAGTGATCCATTAACAGCGGTTACGACAAATGAGCAGCTTCTTAGGGAGAAAAGGATGTGTGCAAAATTTCAGCTCGATAACTCAAAAACTGCGGCACTAGTTCGTGTATATACAGGCAGACAGACATGGCTAAATCGAGTCAACACGTCACGCTGTTGATTTATATACGTACTTTATAGGGACTTCGACGTTTCGAAACTTCGTGTGAAACTTAATTACTTTATAGGGTCAACGGCATTACCTACTGAGTGTTAAAAGCTCCATTGCAACCCTGTTCAGCGTATAAATATATGACTACTTTCGTAAAGCTCATAAATTGCCATTTCCCTCAGTCGCAATTGCACAGTTGCGAAATGTCAAGATGCGAAAATAGAGCAGACACAATGCTCCTTATTGTTATACGCCTGCATGTTGCATGGTCATTTACTCGAGCACAATCATATTATTGTGTTGTGCTTTGCTTTGTTTAACCCATTGAGCGTCGGCTTTTGCCTCACAAAATAATTAATTTTTAGAGAGCTATTTATTTACGCGCCTACACAAAAGAGCTTTGGCGCAACAAATTTCTTAAAGATATAGGGTGTTGCGCAGCAAATAATTTTATACAGCATTTGTTTTAATACAGACAAAAAACGACAATGAACGAATGCAAGTATACTGAAACACAGATGCGCCAAATAATTTACTTACAGTAAAAAAAAATGAAAATGAAATTGCTAAAAGACACGAAAGAGACAATTAAGAAAAGACATTAAAATTTTGAAGAGTAAAACGTTGCATAATTTTCCTATAAAAGCGAACTACGCGCAAAAAAGCCGCACTATTCTAGCAACTAGCAAAAAACGCACATTTTGCAACAAAAACCCACGCACCTCTCCTACGCCCACAAGTTCCCAATCCCAAAACTGAATTTAACACACACGTAACTAAATATAAAACACAATGATCAAATTAAAATCGTTGTTCCGCAGAGGGCAAGGACCCTCGGGCTCCTCCAAGCATTCCTCCTCCAACAGCCGTCACAAATCGCAGTCCACCACATCGCTGAATACGGTCGGCAGCAGCAGTCAGGAGCCCGCTGCAGCGACAGCCGCCGCAGCCGCCAACACAGCCACATTTTATCCGCCCATCGATCCGCTCACAGAACGCGGCGTCGACGTAGGCGACGGCGATTTGAATATCGTTGCACCGCTAGCAGCGCGCACGCGCAGTCGCACACCGGAGGCGCTGCGCCACGCCAACAACAATAGCAACGCGGCACAGCTGAGCGGCGCCAACAGCGCCAATACTTTGCCACACAAGAAGCCAAAGGTCGCCGGCACCGGCAAGAAGGGTCAGAAGCAGCCAAAGCAATTGCCAACAACAGCGACAGCGCAGCCGCAAGCGCCGCCAGCACGCGCCGAAGTCGTAGTCGCTGCCGCACCAGTTGGCAATGTAATGACGACAATAGCCGCCGCGCCGGGAAGTCACAATTCCGCGGTTAATACAGCTGCAGCTGCAGCCGCCGCCGCGGCAGCAACCAATAACAATTACACTGGTGGCGAATTGATTAGCGCGTCCATTGGGCAAGTGCCGCTGCCGACGCCAGCCGAAGCGGGCATTGATTTGTACAAGTTGAATGCGGCCAATTATCAGCAATTCATTAACAACGAGCAACTATTGCAACAGCAACAACAACAGCAGCAGCAATTGTTAGAGGTACGTGGGGAGGGGGCAACAACACAAAAATATTTAATTTGTTTCAAACTCGTATAATGCTTTCGTTTCGCGTGGCAGGCTAACAACAAAATGCAGGATCTGCAAGCGCAGCTCGAGCGTCTGGGTCACGAAAAATCATTGCTGGAAGCGCACATTGCCGAGCTGCTGCCATATCAGCTCGAAGTGGGTAAATTGAAGGCGGAGCTGCTCAAGATGCAGGTGTGAGATCGTCTTTTTGCATGCAACTATCTACATTCAATAACTGTAAAACACTGTCAAAATCATGCAGCAGCAACAACAAAGTAGTTTGCGCTATTTACGGCCGCATTGCTGTTGATTTACAGTTATTTAATTGTCAGCTGCAAGTAGCGTGATTTAATTAAAGCCGACACTTTGCATGCCAAGCCAAAACGTCGTATTTTCATATTTATTTATTTCTCTTCCTCTTGCGCACAGAGCCAGCACGAGAAAAGTCAATTGGAGGTGACAAATCTCAAGTACGAGAATGAATCGTTGCGCAATCGTTTGCGTGATGTTGTCAACTCGCCGCTATCTGACGCGGAGAAACACCAAATCATACAAGACTCGCAGCGTTTGCATAGTTCGGCGCCGGCCTCAATTGCGCTGCCAAGTGTAAGTTGAACAATAGTCAGCGGTTTATGGGTTTGTAACATAAAATGTTAAACGACTCGATACAAGCGAGAACACGTGCTCGTTTCTTTAAAACAAAAATATGTTTACATTAACGATTTATATAAAAAATATTTTAACTATTCTTGCACGGCTTGTAGACGAACGACAACGATGTGGGCACACCCTGTCTCACGCCCGATTGGGACAAGCACTCTTCATCAAGCGAAATCTCCGTCGCTTGCCTGCAAGATAAGATCATACAAATGGAGGAGACGCATTATTCGACCAATGAAGAACTGCAGGCCACACTGCAAGAGCTAGCCGATTTGCAAGCGCAGTTGAGTGACGCACAGGCGGAGAACGAACGTTTAGCCGAGGAGAAGGATGTGCTCTTTCAGACACTGTGTCGCCAAACTGAGAAACTAAATGATTCACGCACACAAATCAATACGCTACGCACCGAAATCAGCTCCTCTGAACGCGAACGTAAGCTACTCGAACTGATTAAGACATCACAGGAAGAACGCGAAGCGATACTTGTCAAGCAGGAGGAGCTCAATGCCGAATTGCAGGAGTTACGTCAACAGCTTGAGGCCGCCTTGGCGGATTGTACACGTACGCGCGAACGCAATGCGCTGCTGGACTCTACCGTCGATGCGGCGAACGCTGAACGCAAACAAATTGAAGCCCAGCTTACACAGGCCAAAGAGGAGATCTCACAGCGTAGCATCGAAATAAATCGCCTGACCACGCTGCTGGAGAATGCACGCTCCAAAATCGAAGAGCTGGAGCAGGATTTGGCGCGCGGTGAAAAAACCGATCTTACCGATTTATTGGACGCGGCGCGCAAGGAGAAGGATACGCTGGAGGAGCGCGTGGCCGAGTTGCAGGATCAGTATTCGCGCAGTCAGGCGGAAATTCGGCGACTCAAAGAGCAGCTGTCCGGCGTGACTGAGGAGTGCAAGGTCGCAAAGAATAATGCCAAATGTGCCGTCTCACATCTGGAATATCGGCTAGAGCAATTGCAGCAGGAGAAGGACAAGTTGAGCGGCGAGCATCAGCAGCTAGTCGATAGCACCAACGAATTGCAGGTAGGTGTGATGTTTACGTTGTATTTCCAACTCAGCATATAATGTTTGTGTGCCATTTAATAGGTGCAAAGCAAATGTCACTTGGAGGACAAACAACAGTTACAAAACTTACTCAGCGAGACGCAGAAACATTTGGGCGATGTGGAGGCCAAACTGAATGCGACAGAAAAACAACTCGAAGAGGAAGTGAAACTGCGCAAACAGGAGGTAAACATGCCGCCAACTAAATGTAACGCATTTCCGCTGAACGGCAACTTATTTACAGGCAGAGGAATGGCAACAATTCCAGTCGGACTTGCTAATGACGGTGCGTGTGGCCAATGATTTTAAGACTGAAGCGTTGAGTGCGCGCGAACAGCTGGTGCTCGATAACAAAACGCAAAAGGAGAAGATACGACTGCTGGAGCAGCAAATCGAGAAGCTGACAAAACAACGTAAGCACCAAGCATTTATACAAAACACATTCCGTTAGAAGTTATCTAACTCGTTTCACTTTTAAACCTTACATTACAGAAATGCAACAAAATGAAACGCAGCAATCGGTGCTGACCACTGTCCAACAGGAGATGGCTTCGCGGCGCAGTAAAATCGGCAGCAGTCTGAATCGGCAGGACTCGCGGCTGTCGGTGAAGACGCTTATCGAGAGCATTGAAAACAATAAGGTGAATTGAACCAGAAATGCGCCGCATCGCTGAACAAAATTTGGCACGAAATTTGTCGGATCTTCTTGGAACTTTTTTTTAGGGGAAATAGATTAGAGAGAGATGGGAAATAGATTGAGAGAGGAAATAGATTTAGAGACAGAGAGAATAGATTTAGAGAGAGAGAGAGGAAATAGATTGAGAGAGAGAGAGAGAGGAAATAGATTTAGAGAGAGAGGAGGAAATATATATATATATATAGAGGAAATAGATTTAGAGAGAGAGGAAATAGATAGCGAGAGAGATGAAATAGATAAAGAGAGAGAGAAAAGAAATAGATAGAGAGAGGAAATATATATATAAATAGAGAGACAGAATTAGGGGAAAGAGAGAGAGAGAAAATAGGGAGGGAGAAAATAGAGAGAGAGAAAAATAGAGAGAGAGAAAAATAGAGAGAGAGAAAATAGAGACAGAAAAATAATAGAGACAGAAAAATAATAGAGAGAGAAAAAATAGAGAGAGAGAGGAAATAGATAGAAAGAGAGAGGAAATAGATAGAGGGAGAGAGGAAACAGATAGAGCGACAGCGTAGCCAACACATTTGGTTGACGGCAAATGGTAGGTTATCACAGTTTTTGGAACAGCTCTACCTTGTTGTGGTCGTAGCGGCAAGAAAACATCACTGCAGTAATTTGGGGTAATGCAGTTTACAGTCAGGGTTTATTCCGGTTACGTAGACCCGTCTGCCGTGCGCATGGAACCGCTTTCCGTACTTTTGTGTGTTTATTAAAACGTTTTCCATCATTTGCACTTTCACTTTTAGCCCAAAGTCGAGGAAACTGAGTCACATTACAGTTCCACATCTAGCTTAAATAGCGCTACACCGGAAATAACGAGCAATTTACTGCCACCGGTCATTGGCAACAATGCAGCGAATAACGACTGGACTGAGAATGTGAGTAGCAATACTGCAAAATTTTGTTGTTGTTGTTACTGTTTTAATTTTGTATCTTCGCTTTGTTTTTGTTAAGGTGCGCCTACAGAGCACAACAACGATTAACAGCAGTAGCATTAACAGCATTACAAACAGTAATACCGTCAATAATATACCTGCCAAAGGACCGCTGCGCGAACAGCAACAACAAACGCCGGCAACAACAACACAAACTAGCTTAGTTTCGAATCTGCATCACTTTAGCGGCCTAAACAGTGTATCGAGCAAATCGCTGCTAAGTGGTGCGTAACTCACACACACACATATACACAAACAGCTGTTTACACAATATACTCTTTTTCTTGCAGGCGAACGCAAGGACCCGTTGAATATGCTGGCGAAAAACGGCGGCTCGAAACGCAATGCGCTGCTTAAATGGTGTCAAAACAAAACCGTCGGCTATCGCAATATAGACATAACGAATTTCAGTTCGTCCTGGAATGACGGTTTGGCGTTCTGTGCAATACTACATTCCTATCTGCCAGATCGTATACCCTACGACACGCTGAATCCGACCAATAAGCGCCGCAACTTCTCGCTGGCGTTTGCGGCGGCCGAATCTGTGGGCATACAAACGACCTTGGTAAGAAGACTCGTTAACACATACAAATGCACATTTTAATCATGCGATTTGTTCGTTTCACAGAACATCAACGATATGTGCCAGCTTGAGAGGCCCGACTGGACGCAGGTGATGTCCTACGTTACGGCAATTTACAAACATTTCGAAACGTAGACGTGCGCACCATGATACAAACGCGCATGCGCACTTTCACAATGTTGCATCTTGAGTTGGGCAACAACAAATGCTTACATTTGTATATCCGTTTGTTTGCTGTGGGGTGAATGAAAATGGGAAAAACTAAGACTTATTCGCAGTATGCTGTAGACTTGATAAACACATTATTTAGTGGCAATGGCGTAATACATACACACTTTATTATCACACTCTTGTTCCATAGTGTTTTTTCGCATTATTATTATTATTATAATTTACACATATTTAATTTATTGAATAAAAGAAAAATGCTTAGTGAAAAAACGCACTGTATTATTTAAAATTTAAGCAAAAAAAAGTTTTCCATTTAAGATTTTTAACGGTCAGTTTGTATGGCAGCTATATGCTATAGTGAATCGATCTGCGCAAAATTTTCGCAGTTTGTAGCGTTGCCTTGAACAATAATTTATGCCAAATTTCGTAAAGATATCTTGTCAAATAAAAAAATTTTTTATACAAGCGCTTGATTCCGATCGTTCAGTTTGTATGACAGCTATACGCTATAGTGATCCGATCCGAACAATTTCTTCGGAGATTCCATTATTATCATAGATAATGATTCGTTTCAAATTTCGGTAAAAATATAGACTACACAAAAGGCTCTGCTAATAACGAGTTAGCCTCAATAACTGCCTCAATTCTTGAAGGTATGGAATTCATTAGGACCTCAATTGATTTCCTCATAACGGGACCATACAAAACCAGTTCTAAAATCTCTATCAAAGGACTGTTATTTGTCGACTTTTGTTTAGCAACTTCACACTTCATTATGTGGCATAAGTGCTCAATAGGGTTTAAATCGGGCGAGTTTCCAGGCCATTCCCAGCGTTGCATCCCCAGATCGTTAACTGTATTGGCCAACTAAAAATACAAATTCGAGCTGAATAGCATCAAATACATCAATATCGTATGAACGATTATATACAGGATTTGTTTCCAATCAAAACTTACCCATCGATCCGTATAAGAATAATGCTCTCCAATTGCGGTTACTCAAAAATTATTAACCACTGGTGGAGATACCCGAAAACATGGTATGAAAAGCAGGCCCATATCATTTGACTTTGAAGAAACCTGGAACCTCTCAGCACCTACACAGACCACATAATCTGTTGCAAATCATTTTGAACCCAAATTTGGTAGTACAATATTTAGTCCAAGAAAGTCGTACGCTCGAAAATGTCGGATCTTTTTGGAACTTTTAAAGCGTCCATAGAGCGAAACGATGTCGCTTGGTAGGGTCGAGCGGCTTTAGTTCTTGCACAAGCTGTCTTTTGTACGCTTTCAATTTAAGGTCTCGACGTAAAATGCGCCAAGTCGTTCCACACGTCAGTGCGAGCTGCTGCGAACGGCGCCGAATCGACTCTCCACGATCTTCGTATACACTCTCAGCTACGGCCGCTATATTTTCTGCACTGCGTGCTAGATGTGGTCTTTTCGGTCGAATATTATACAATAATGAAGGTTATTGAAAAAAGTACTTTTACTCGGATCACCCGTTATTAATAAAGAACTAATAGAAAACTGGATGGTAAAAATATGAACTGTCTTTTTTTTACGACACTTCAAAAAATACCTGAAATGCTTGCCTCTAGACTAACATATTAGATGTAGTAAAAAGAAATCCATTATTTTTGCATGAAATTGAATGCTTTAATTATTACTTTTCGTAACCAGCCTTATTCAAAAGATTCCAAACGGTTTTTTTGTGCAATGTTTAGTTGCTGGACAATCGTAATCGATGTTTTCCATTATTTGATCGATTTTTTCGATAATTGGTCTACCAGAGCGTGTTGCAGCTTTGACATCGAAATTACCGAAACGAAATCGACGAAACCAAAATTGCGCATGTTTGGCTGTTACAGCATCAGAATAAACATAAACGCTATGCACATTTTCAGCCGATTGGCTTGCGTTTTCGCACTTATCGAAGAAAAACTGTAAAATATAGCAATTTGCTGTTTTACTAGCGTCCATCTTTGACGCGCGCTCAAACAAAACTGAATCAACCAAGCACAAAACTGTCAGAGAAGCTTTTTCAGTACGATATGTCATTATTTTTACGACATCTAGCCGAACCCGTTTGTACTTATACAACGCGAGATACAGATAAATAACGCCATCTATTGCAAAAATAATGAATTTCTTTTTACTACAACTAATATGATATGCCCCTTACATTAAATTAAATATGTACAATTTATCTAGACTTTGCAGCAAACTTTTGAAAAAACAAAAACTTCAAATAAAAAAAATAAAATTGATTTTTGTACATACCAGTTAAGTAAAAAAAAACATAATAATAAATAAATAAATAATTTGGCGCACAATTTATTATTTTACTTACTTGTTTGGCTTTTTGCCGCTGTTGAAAAATATTGAAATCGCATATATGTAAGTATAAGAGTTCATAACAATTGATTTATTTTTTATTATTTTGTATAGCTTAGTTGATAATAATTTTTTTATTTAAATAGTTAACTATTTAACACTAGGGACTTATGGACTTTGTGCTAAGCAAAGCTTTTCATTTATTCAGCTTTTTTAATTAATTAATACAATATACAATTGGATATGCGCTTATAAAACATAAATGATAAAAAGTCACATAATAATTATCTTGCAAAAATCTAGTTGAAAGCAAAACATTTTTCAGCGCTTATACTCGTATGCTTATTTTTTGAATGCTTATTGTGTTTAACATATATTTTCTTATATTTATAAAGGTACATTTTATTCGGTTATTAAATAAACACCGTTAGCATTATAGGTGCGTAGCTTAAAAGTATTTTTTGCAACATTTCAAGTATTTAAAACAAAAATGTTATAACATATTAAGCAAACATAAATATATATATGCTATATATGGATATTTTTTCTCATATCCACAATTATCAGTCATTATAAGTGTCATATTTTCTAAATATCCTATATGCTAAATATACGCGGTGTGTTCAAAGAAAAATGTGAATTTCGCAGTCTGTGCACATTCGAGCAAGAGCTGATGGCCATACCGAAAAGCGCATTTCAGAAGCGCTGCGCGGTTTGGAAAAAGCGTTGACACAAATGTATTATATACGCGTGGAATAAGTACTAAAAAAAAAAAATTCAAAATGCAGCTTTTCCTTTGAACACACTACGTACATACAAAAATATATAAATTAAGTAATCAGTGCATAGTTTATAACGCATTTGTAGTTCACATTAGAAAGTTTTACGCAATTAAATGCAATACCGTTATTAAGAGCTGTCATCAGTTAACTTGCGACGCAGTTTGAATACTATTTGCAATTAAATATGCTCTTGGTAATGCCAGCTTCACTTACATATATGTTTTAATTTTCACGCCACTTGCCGCTAAGCTACCGTGTTAGAACAGCGTTTGGGCACTCAGAAAAGTCGCGGTTTAGTTGCATAAACACGAAGACAAATGCGCATTGTTGTATAATGTTCTAATCAAATGCGCACGATTTAAGGAACGTTTCATTAAACAGAAATGACTAAAACATCTCTTGTTTATGCTGAACCACACATAAACAAGTAGTGATAAGAAATCCCAATCTCTGCTGCACACATGGTGTGAAATAGAAATGGTATCACACATAACGAGTGTTATCTCCTACACGCTATCCTCTCGGGACCGTTTGTAACGACAAACAATCGACCGTAGATAGTGTGTCTATCTTCAAATAGCATAGCAGACAGCAAATAGAAACTAGTACCATAAAGTAGTATAAATAACACTAAAATATATATATGTAATCAGTCTTAGTTTTTGTGTGAATAAAAGAACTTGCCCTGACGGGGCAGAAAACACAACAACATGATTCAATTATAATTAACTCACGCCTATACGAAAATGTTAGGCTTTAGTCTAACTACAATGGTCTTTTGAGAATTGTGATGTGCCATAATATGTTGAAAATGTAAGCGTTTGCAAAAGTGACATTTATATTTTCGTTCGTTCCGTTTTAGTCTGTTGACGTTCATACATTATTAAGGTCTGTCGACAGGCGCGAGAGTTAATACCCATATCAATGGCGCATGGAACACGTGGCCTCACTATCAAAAACGCAACAACGCTATCACCCAATGGACTCAGTCTATGGCAACACTTCAAGCTGTAAAGTTGTACTTTTTTTGCTCTGAACTATTGTGTGTAATTTTGCAAAATTTCTTAAACTTTAATTGATTTTTTAGTGATTTAGTTCAATAGCAAGCAACTTTTCGCCCGCGTGCAGATATATTAATTTGAATTTTATTAATAAACCACGGATACCGCCGGTGTAATCAATTTTATATAATTAAATTTAAATTAATTAAAAAATTTAATAATTAAATTTTACACTACGGTGTGTGCTCTTGGTAAAAGTGGTAAGAGGTGAGTATGCAACTGAAAAGATTATTCACATACAAAAAGTATTGTTCCTAAATGTTAAATGTTTATATTTTTTGCAAAATTATTGTACATAGTTAAAATTAAGTTGGTTTAATTTTAATGGAAAGAACTAGTGAGAGGGTCGAATTTTGTAAAAAAAAGTGTGTGCACTAAGTGTGCAATCTGACATTTCCATTGGATAGTTTGACATTTTTTAGCATAAATCACTCAGAACGTTTTGTCATTTAATCGTGAATTGTTTTATTTACAGGGAATTAAAAAATTCATCTCGGCCAAAAAATGGAATTAACTCGTGAACATTTTCGTGCGATAACTAACTCAGTAGATGGCGCCACCCGATGAAAATTAGTAAAACAGCTGTTTTATTTTGAAATGAGGTGGCTGACAAAGTAGTAGGCTAAGCGATTCCAAGAAACGGAATAAAGAATTCAATTGTATAAAAACCGCAAACGCTATCACACGTCTTCTTTTATCGGTCGCATAATTTTCATATAACTAATTTTCGGCACAGACAATTGGTATTTTTCTCAAAACCGCTTGAGATATTTTAAGGTATAATTAATTATACCGTCCCTTTTCAAACCCAACATTTTTGGTCCTTCGAGATGCGGAAATCGTTATTTATTATATGTTAAATGTTTATATATAGACATATAGGATAATATGATTCAAAGAACGTATTTCATCAAAGCCCAATATGTATTTATTGCGAAACAGCTTTTTTCAATAAAGAAATACTCCATATTAACTGGCAGATATGAACTCTAAGGCAATTAAAAGTGACGCCAAAATCTTCAAGAGAAAATAATGGCACAGTGAAGGGACGACAGAAGAAAAACGTCGGCCGCCTCAACATATGGAGCAA